AAACCATGATGTAGTCTTTCAAAAACTTGTTTTGACCCTAGTAGATCGATATTAAGCTCAAAGTAGTTTTCGTTATTCATCGACTGTTAATGAATTTGGATAAAAAAGAATGGCTAAGCTATTTAAATATAGTTAAGGATCTTAGTTTTAAAGTGCAGTACTATGATTGAGCTGCCTCTATAAGCGTGGTGACAATCCTTTGCACATTAGAGCTTTATCGACCCCTAGCATCATTGTATTAGTTTAATAAAGCTTTAAATGATTAAAAGGGTTAAATATATTGTCATATGTCTCAAAGGTTGACATCTTGAACCTTTTTAAGGATATAGTTTGATCTATCTTCTCGATGAAGGATGAGATTTGTAAAAGCTTTAGCTTGTCATCAAATGTAGAGGCATTTTCTTTTAATTCCTTTTTCATAGCTTACATCTGAGCTTTCAAGTCTTTGCTTGGTTAGGACTTTGGAGTAATTTGTTTAATTTTTAGGTGGTGGTTTGTTTTGAGGTATGGGTTTGGTAATGGGTAACTAGAGTAATATGTTTGTCATCTCTTAAAGCCGACGAAGCTTCAATATTATCATAGCTCAATAGCTTTTCTATGTGCAAATATTTTAAGGTGATTGGATAAAGTGCTTTAGACATTTGTGGTGGGGTAAGGATTTGGATCATCTCTTTAAGAGACTATAATTATTGGTTGAGAGCTAGAAATTACTCTATTGAGGGGCTTGCTAGAGCAAGTCAGCTTGGAGTTAACTAACTTAGGTTTCAATTTCAGTTACTGCAGTTGGTTTTCCTTTCTTAGCATTTCTCTTTCTTGGTGGCATATTGCTTTAGCTTAACTAAATAAGAAGTCCCCATACCTGGCATGCCAGATATTGGTGCTAATCTATTCCTTTAGGGATAAAACCCTGAAAATAAAAGAAAGAGAAAAAAGTTATTAAAGACAAATGTTATGAGTGTTCCTAGCATTTATGCTTTGCATTCAAGTCAGAGATTGGTTAAGGAGGAAAATAGGAAAAAGATTGTAAAGAAGTATTAGACAAGAAATATGGTAAAATAGCGTCTAGATAGTGTTATTTATACTTTTGAGATGGGAGGTTTTGGATAGTTTAGGCTGCTCGAGATTAGCTTTAGGGTCAAGGATGACTTGGTAGGCTGAGCTGAGCTGGACATTGACTATCCAATTAAGAAGCGACAAGTCAATATTTTGGGAAGTCTACTGGGTAGGCTGGTGAGGTGGCAAGCTAATGTGGCCCTATGAATTCAAGTCGACCTGGCATGTCAACTCGGTCCAAAAGTTAAAAATACCCATAGTTGTTTGTTGATTGTCTCTAATGAAAGAAAAGTTTATTTTGCTTAAACCCAAAAATATCCCTAATAGTTTAAAAAACTAAAGAATATTCCTTTCATTTTCAAATATAGTTACCAATCACTCTAAGGCATCATGTAACCCTAGTAAAAAGAAATACCATTTAAATTCGATCAATTAAAATTTGATTTGCCTAATTAAAATAAAATAATTAAAAGATAAATTCATGTAAGATATATATGAATATAATCATATATACATACTTGTTTAGCATAAGTGAAAGCAAAAATGAAAGCTTGACTTGAATTACTGGTTATTGAACATGATTATAGTACAAAAGTTATTTGTTTTCATAGCGTAAGTCTTTCAATACCCCGAATGCAAGAATTCCTCTTAAGAGTCGTAAACTACCGATCTCTCTTTCTCTTTTTCTGTTTTTCTTCTTATTGTGTAAAAAATTTATCTTTTCATTGTTTTTTTCTTAATGGTTGAATGCTATACAATGAGAAAGTAGGGCAACCATATTTTTTTTATTAGTCATAAACTATTCAAGATAGTTTTTATTCAAAGAAGTAAACTATCTAATAGCAGTTACTTCATGCGTGGGGGTTGGGCCACCCATTGTGGGTGGACTTGCATCTCTAATTTCCTTCAATAATATAATTCAACTTGAAATTAACCGAATTTATTGAATAAACACACAATATGACCGTTCACACAAATGTTTGAGTTTTGCTACAAGCTTTCAGTGAAATTGAAAATAATGATGGGTTGAGATTGGATACTGTAGTAATGAGATTAAAATCAGGGCAAGACATGCGTTTAGGTACAAAGCAGCGCTGTGATGAGATAAAATGTAGTGAAAAGAAAAAATGATTATTAAATATATTAAATTAAAATTTGAACATAATAAAATTTTTAGATTATTTGACATTTATGAAAATAATTAAAAAATTAAAATTATTTTATAACAAATAATATTTTTAATAAATAATTAAAAATTAATAAAAATGATAATAATCTATCAAATTTTTTTATTTAAATATATATTGAATTCTCAACTTTTTGTTTACCATATATTTTATTACTAATTTGTGTATTAATTTTATTTATTAATCTTATTCACTTATTTAATTCTAGACAAATATATTTATTTATTATTATTTCGATTAGATTTTATGATTTTAAGAGACATTTTGGAAAAAATATTAATTACTTAAAGGTACTATTAGATAAAATAATAATGTGATAAAAATAAAATATTATTTTTCAAAATAAAAAAAAAGGTTATTTTAATTTTAAACTTTGAAAAATATGAATAAAATTGTATTAAAAAGATATGAAAAGATAATAATGTTCAAAGTAACGTGTGGTGACTCACCAGACTCCTTCCTCAACAATGGAGAATCGATCATCCATTGTTATCATGTAGACATAACCAAATCCTAATTTTACTACCCAAACAAAAATCACGATGCAATTGCATTAAAAAGTGCTTTATCACGCTAAATTGTGATAACGATTGAATCCATATCTGACCTAGTCAAGAAAGGAAAGGAAGGAAATAAATGGTAGAAGAAAGCAAAAATAAACAATAAGACTCGTATATCTATAAACTCAAAGTTATAGAGAATGGAGGAAGGTGGGGGTGTCCATGTTGCACCCATAATTTATTCCATTCTCTATTCTTTTTATTTATTTTTATTAAATTTTATTTTGTTTTTAATTAATTTATTAATTTTTTTATCAAATAAATTAAAAAAAAAAGTTAATTGAAGTAAAGATAACGAAATAATCTATATTCGATTAGTTTTAATACTTATCAATTCAACATAACTATTTTTTTTTAAATCAAGACTAGATTGAGGTTTTTTTTTTCTTTTTAAATAGGGTTGGGTTGGAAACGGATTTAAATTGTTCTTTCGTCTTAGGTATCTACGTGGCACCTCCCTCTTTTTCTTCGTTTTCTTTGTTTTTTCTTTAAGTTTTTGCCCTTTTTTTGGATTTTTTTATTTTACTTTTTATTAAATAAATTTTATAACAAAAAAGTCAATTAAAATAAAAATGACAAAATAACCTGTTTCTAATTAGTTTTGATTTATCTCAATTCAATTGATGTGCTTTCTTTTAATTCAAGATAATTGGGTTGAGTTATTTTTAAATCAAGCTCGAGTCGAAATAAGGTTCTAGAAATTACACATTTACCTTAGTATATATAAAAATATATATTATTATTTATTCAATTTTATATTTATATATTATTCAAAAATATTATTTAATGTATTAATTTAATAAACCACATGCCCTCTCATTTGTTTTTTTTTTTTTGTCATCCTTTTATTTTTTAAAATTTATTTATTAGATAGATTTTGTAAAAAAAATTCAATACATATAAGAATGACAAATCAACTTATATTTGATAGATTTTAATTTATCACAATCTAATTGATACAATTTTTTAAATAAAGATTGAGTTAAATTTTGAACAATTTAAGTTAAGCCAAAGTCGAATTTGGAGTATTTTGTCGCAACTTTCATTAAGATATATAAAAAATATATATTTTATTATTTATTTAATTCATATTTATATATGTATATATTAATAAAAATATTACTTAATACATTAATTTAATAAAAAACTATATTTATATATAATTAAATTATAATTTATATTAAAAAAATAAACACACTTATATTTTCTATATATCATCATCCATTAAAACTTAACATAAAAATTTTACATTTCTCATGTTTAAAATATAATTTAAAAAATAAAAAATTATTTTCTAGCGACACACTGGTCTAATTCAAGTTTTATTTAAAGATGAATAAGATTAAAAAAAATTATACATTCACAAAGAAATGAAATAAAATAAAATAACTCCACATCAGTCAAATATTCTTTCTTTTCTCCCCTGGACGTCCGCAATTGTCTATCTTCTACATTTAGGGGCGGAATGCATTTTTTTTTTAAATGATAAAAAAGAAAACCATAGAGAGTAATGGAGTGCAGTTGCAAAGCCCCATTCCTCCATCTAACAAAAAATAATTATATTAATGCATTTTCAATGTGCATAATTTTCTAATAATAAGGAAAAGTGTACAAAATGCAAAAAAAAAAAAAAAAAGGGAATAAAATGCAATCCACAATTTACTAATGCCGTAAGCTTGTAAAAACTAAAATTTCATTGATGGTGAGATTAAAAGATACATACGCATTAAAAGGATTTACGATACAAAAAACATTAAAAGGATTTCCAATCTAAGCAGTACCATGTTGAAATTTTAATTCAAAAGAATATTGTTTGATAAAAAAAATAAAAATTAACAATTAAAGAATAATTAAATTTTATTTATGCTTATATGACTTTTCGTAAGATCATTAACAAAACTTTCCATTTAATGCTGAAAAAAAATCCAGTTGAGAGACATCATCCTCTGTTCAAAGAGAAAATTTTAAGTCATCCATCTCAAATAAAAATAACATGCATTACCCATGTAATAAAAAAAAAAAAATCATCACATTACTGATAAAAAAATTTCTAAATTTCACTATTAGCATTAATAAGATAACACATAATCCTTAAAGTGTAATTAAAAATAAAATATAAAATATATATTAATATTTTGATCCCATTTATAAAATTAAAAAATTAACTATTAGTGTATAAAAAGGAACTCAGAAATTTAGCAGAAAAATATTACACCAACCATTTTATCTCTTCAAATATAACAATATTTTCCATAATTTTATTTGTCAAATTAACTCATAATTCGATGATTTATTGTCTTGATAGTAATTGTAAATATACTGGCTAAATAAATGTACTTCAAAATGTCCAAAAGCTGAATCAGATTCTCTTCCATATCAGAATAATCACCATGCCAGGAAAAAAAAATAAAAAAGCTGTCTTCCAACAAATTGAGTAAAATATAGAACTGCACCGGACAAACCAACATTGCAAATCCGCCCAACGGAAAACTGACATTCACCTTATTAAGCTAAAGAAGAAAAAAATGAAATGAAATGAAATGAAATTTCTTTTGTCCCCACAAACTTCTGCTGCTGTTGAGAATTAAAGAAAACGGCAGATTTGTTGCCTGATGATCAGTTCCAACTAAATGCCGTTGGGGTTATTTCCAGATTTTGACGGATTTGTCGTAACTCGCAGAGGCAACCATCCCTGTTACTTGTGAATTTGCCAGGGCTGATATCACGCAGTCATGAGCTGAAACCGTCAAACACTTATTCTCAGCTGTGTTCCAAAGCTCCAATGACTGCGAATGAGAAGGTTAAAGGGGAGAGAAAAAAAAGAATAAGGAAATTAGTGATAATGAGATATTTCACATAGAACAATTGAGGTAAAAGGATTGCATATATGGAAATACAACCATTGATAATCAACAAGAACGAGTAGAAGAGTGGGTAAAATGAATTACTCAACTCCTAACTAGAATGGCAATGATATCAATTAGTTCCTCACATATCACCCTAAGAAAAAGAAATGGCACCTGATAACCACCAATAACCAAGAGAGCATTGAAGCCAGGATGAAAGACACAAGAATGAAACTTGTTTCCACTAGCATTGAGCTCGTGAATGCATTCTCCCGAGGCCAGTGACCACACTCTGACAGACTCTTGACTGACAGATGCTAAAAAGTCTCCATTTGTGTCCCAACAAACAGAGTGTACCTCTGTATTGTGGCCCTGATGGTCAAAAAGTTACTCCAGATGAAACCATAAACTGTCAAATTTGATATACCTGAAAACTACAAATGATGTAAAGCACTCCTTTCCAAAATTTACAAATTTAACAATATTCTACCTGCAATAAGTGAATTCTTCTGTCAGTCTCTACATCAAATATAGACACAACATTCTCTGCTGCTGCAGCTAATAATTGTCCTATTCTTGGTTGAAATCTGATAGTAGTGCTGCCTCCCTGCTTCATTTAGTGCAAGTAATTTAGATGAAAAACTTCATAACCAAAAGAACATGCAGTGTTTAGAAAAGAACAAAGCTTAAGGATTTAGAAGGCTAGCCCTGGAGATACGAGTGCAAGAAAACTTATTGATGTTCCACAAGCGAATCTCACTGTTACCATCACAAGAGCAGAAAAGTTCATTCTTCTTAGGGTGGAAATCAAGGGACATAACTTGTGACATATGCCCTGTAAATTTCCAGATGGAATAACTTGGCTGCAAAAATGACAAAAATAAGTACGCCGGACACATAAACCATAATATTGATCACATTTGAACAAAGTAGAATTCCTAAGTCTTTTCTATAATGGTAGGAACTTTGCTCGTCTTCCAACAAACAATGTCAGGTTTAATGGTGTGAACATTCATTCAGCCTAGGCAACAGGCAGCTTCTATACAAACCTGATTTGAGGATAACAGACATAGATTCAAAAAGAAAAGAAATAGAAGTTATACTTGTGCAGCATCCCAAACTCGCAATGTTGTATCAAAAGAAGATGTTGCCAGCTGAGTGGAATTTGGTCTGAAGCGAATATCAGTTATAATATGAGTGTGCTCCTCTGATGTGCACTCAGTTTGCAGAGTGTCCATGTTCCAAAGAACAGCCTACTGACAGGAAATAGACCAGCAAGAACATCATCATTCCATAATTCCATTTAAGACCCTTTTTTTATTAGTCATAAATATTCTCCCAACTGTTCTGCTGAGGACCCAAGGAAAAGAAGTATGGCATCACACAGCCACATCATTTATGAAAAGAAAACAGTCAAAATGACAAAAATAATTATAATTTGAACTTATCAGGCGTGCTAGATAAAGAAAATTCATCCCTTCAATGCTACAATGCATTATACCTTCTTGTCATGCCCAGCACTGGCCAGTAGCTTTCCATCTGAAGAGAAATGACAGCAGGTGACTTTGCCATTGCTTGTACGTATTGAACCAACTTCATTGAAGCCAATACCTGAAATACAGAAAAAGATTCATTGCTGTGGTCAACATGAAGAATAAGAGTTTTAAAAGCATGAGATCATATTATTACCCTTTGAAGTCTCAGTAGCAAGTTCAGAAGGGTTTCGTTTTAGGGTGCCAAACAAATTCCCTCCATCCCCATCATCATGTGAGAGAAAAGATTCCACATTGTCATCCAAGGAGCCAACATCTCCAAAATGTTCAATGTCTTCCTGAAATTAGGAATTACATCATAAGCAGGATTTTGAAATGACTTATTCAAGGCTACACTTAAGGTAAATGTTTCAAATTCTGACAGCAGTTAAGTGAAGGGCAGCACGTGAAAAAGGCGAGGCAGATTAAGTACAAAAATGAAAGAATAATAGTGAAGAAACAAGGCTATTTCAGGTTTATTTGCTTGATCTGAATATTGAATTGAATTTGACTCTAAATTGTAAGAAAGAGAAAGAAGTAACAAGCGACTAGAGATTAAGAAACAAAGGCCTAATGAAAACTTGCTAACAACAAAATTTCATGTAGAAATACTTGATCTAGGCAATTCTTCAAAGAGGGCATAAGGATCACCGCATAGCCTCAAATCCCTTAAGACATCAAATTTATTGACTTAGAAAATAAAACATAGACATTTATAGCGAGTCCAACCTCAAGGGACCAAAATACCCAGATATTTTCAATACTATAGCAAGAAGAGCTCCTGAATGAACAATGTTGTATTATAATAATTAGATTCATCCTTAACCATACAAAAAAATAACAACAAACTCAAAAACTTAAAAACAAGTTTTATGAAATTCTGAACAATTTCCATAGAACTCAAATAGTATTGGGGCAAAGGGACAATGTGCCTCCATCCATGTCACCGCTATGGCATCAATATTTCAGCCAGATACAGAAACAATGCTTAAACATTGAGAGCAACATAAATCACATCATTCTCAAGACATTAAGCAAGGATATTACAAACCAACATTTCAAGAAATAATTGTTAGTCCTAGTGCATGAAATGTGATGAGAAGGGCATTCTGGATCTAAGTTTAGATGTTAGAAAAAGAAAGATGATTTAGCTTATATTATCCAAACCATAGAATGTTAGAAAATAAGCTTTTTTATTGCTTACTTGTCATTTTTGGAACAAGTAGATATTTATTTGGTGGTTAATTAACTCTGATACAACAAGAACTAGATGCCTAGAACATTCACAAGAATGCACATAATCATGGTCATAAGATGCAGACCATCAATTTAAAATTTTACAGGCTTTTCAAAACCAAATGACAATTTGCCAACAAGCTTATGACAACACTGGGTACTTGTACCAATTTAGCATCCAAAGGTTTTATGTGCGATGCATGAACGAGGGATTGCTTTGGGGTTCTTAGTATTGCAGTTTCAAAATGTTTAATACACACCCTTGAGGCTACAAATTAGAATTACATACCAGCTGGTTGGTTGATGATGCAATACCACCTGTTCCATCAGACCCATATGTCATCAAATTTTTTGACATGCTGTTACCATGCTGCACGTTGCCCACCATAGCTACTCCATCACCAGGTGTATGAGTTGAAGGCGTTGATGGCTGAGAGTTAGGGGAAGGGCCCACTGTGTTTCCAGTACCGGTGCTATTAGCAGGTCCAGAAGATGAAGGCCCTTTTCTTTTCCGGTTATTCTAACACACCATACAAGTAATAGTCATCAATTTACAGGACAATTAGGGAATAAAAAGATAAAGCATCAAGAAATATTCCCATCATTAATTCATGTGATTTTTTATGAAGATCAGCTGGCAGCCTACTCTAACAAGAAGCATTGTGATAACCAAGAGACAAAACTAAATAAGCTCAACCTGTTGCACTTGCTGTGACTGCAATGGGTCCTGTTGAGAGGAAGATTGTCTTATTGGGGGCATGTTCATCTGCTGAAAAACCACAAAAAGGCTCAGATGAAATTTAGCACAAGGAGTATTGACCATTCTTAACCAAATTTATAACAATCATGACTTGTTAAGAACTACTAAACTAGTGCAACCATCATTCTGTGCCCATAAACAAAATAAAGTTGGCCACAAATTTTCAGAGAAAAAGTATAAAATAATCACCTAACACTGAAGTGGCATGTAGAACAGTAATGGCATGCATATTATTTTGGTTAAATAAAGTCATGGCAGATGGTATGACAATAAACTGACACAACTATATACTGAGAATCTTATTTTATTTTTTGCACTTGAACGTGAACTAAAGACGTGTATATTTCTCATCCATTAACAAGATTGCAGGATACTGTAACTTCTCTCTACTGCACCTTTTGCACTTGTTGATTTTGAATGAAAACTATTGGGGTTCATTTGGATATAGGAAATAACACAACAGTTATAAGTGGTTCTGGAATGGAAATCTTACTTTTGATGAGGTTGATTGCATTGGAGACCCTATAGATCCATCATTAGCAGTTGGTTGGCCGTCTTTGGTATTTAAGGTGCCTCGAGATAATCCTGAAAACCTTTGAGGATCCATATCTCCGTACATGGGTGAACTACCCATATTTCCTTGTGCCTGAACCTGTGCTAAGAGCTGTTGTTGTTGCTGCTGTGGCAGAAGCTGAAACTGGTTTGCATTCTGTGGGAATGGCTTTTGCACTTGTGCACCTAAACTTGGCCGAATTTGATCAATGCCCTGTAAATTAGTTAAGAGTCAGTTAAGGACAACCACTCAGATAAGGAAAATAAATATTCCAGTTTAGAGCTTACAGTTAATGGCCAACCCTTCAGTGGAAGGCTACCTACTCCAGGGTTCAAACCTTGAAGAAGAACAGTAAGCATGGAAGTATGAGAATATTTACAGGGATGCCTTGAGTTAATAAACCACAGAGCCAAATGTATCAAATATGTTGCCTTCATCTCAGAAGAGAAATAAACTTGACAAAAATAGAAACAGTAACTTCATGCAGTGTTTTCTAGAGTAGATAGATTTAGTACTCAGTAGAGCCAAACTAGAGAATCACCCAATAATCTTAAGTTGCAGCAGCACTAATCACATTAGCAATAGCCCACAAACAAACACCTTGCCTACTGGCTTTTCTATTGAAATTTTATGGATAATATTATAACAGTTTAGAGAAGAACATGAGTTGTATATAGAAGGAAAGATGTGATTCTCTGTGATGAAACAAATAATACATGTTTCTGTGAGGCCGAATGCAAATGACATAATGGGACACTAAACGTATAAATCCATGACAAAAGTTAAGTAATAAGAAGTTTGGGTTATGGAAATGAAACTCATTAGTATCTAGTAGGGTTAATGGTGCAAACAGAATATAACACCATTAGTTATAATTACCTGTATTTCCTATTCCAGGTTTCAACTGCACGATTCCCTGCCCATAAATTGAGGAAGGATCCATAGGCATGGATCTCTGTGTACCACCCAAGTTCACTTCACCTTTAATGTCCTGCAAGGAGAATAAATAAATAAATAAATAAAAGAATAATTAGTTCAAGCAAAGTGAAAGATTATAATAGTGAGGTTGCAAAATGTTGCAGCAAATGCAGGACAATTTTTCTCCAAGTAGCAATAGCAGTTTGTAGAGTCCATGCCTGAATTTGTTGCAATGCTGCAGTTACAGTTCCAGGATTTCCTTGAACCAACTGACTGCACCAGAGACAGAGTTTGTGTGTCATTAACCAGAAAAAAAGGTTAATTACAGCAAAACAAAACATTTTATCTGAAATTTAATATTATATTTACCCAGGATGATTTGTAGCTGATTTTAAGAGGGCCATCTTAGCATCCAAAAGTGGTTGCGACGTTTCTGAATTCATTGCATTTGGGTGTTTCATTCGCTCTTCATACATTTTTGCTGCCAATGCACTTGCATTTGACTGTCCAAGCATTCCTTCAGAGCCAATAGCATTTACAGGACCACCCAGAGAAGGATGATTAGGATCCCTACGCTGCAACTGAGCTTGACGCAACAGCTGCAATTGCTGCATCTGCAGCTGTTGCTGCTCCTTTGCTTTGATTTGTTGTGCCTGTACATAATACCATAACAGTTTAAAAACAATCAGCATAAATTGCAAAATTTACAAAAATTTACAGCAATACTTGCTAAAGTCGTAAGAAGACACCTCTATGTATCCTGCAGCAGCCTCTGAATGCTTGTCATTTGTTCTCGATATAAATATGTCCCAAAAGACAGACCACCACTCAAAAAGAAACCCACCAGGAGCATCAATTGCTGGATAAATAAGCAAGTTCTACATGAATCAATTACTCAAACTAAATTCCCTCAACCAACAATATGCTACACTAACTACAACATAACGAAGCAACTGGAATCAAATTTAACCTTTAATTTTGAAGCAAAAATCCCTGTCATACCATCATTAATTTAAAAATAAAAATAAAATTAAAACACATTACTCCTACCCAGTTAAAAGCTATGGTACATGGACTTGGGACTGAGCATCTGACACAGGAATGTAATTTTTTTTGGCAATTTTTGCATTAATGTTAAGAATCTAAGCGTCATAACCCAAGTAAATTTAAAGTGTCCAAGAAGTATTAGACATCAGTACTTTAAGGGAAATTGAAGAATCCATGCAGCATAGGCTCCAATAAGAAATCTTCAGTCACAAAATTTCATGAATTAACTAACAGAATTTATATATTTCAGCCAAAGCCAATTCTTACCTACTGGATCCGGGGCGACTTTTCCTTCTGTCATGAAGGACTTTGCAGTAGCATGCAATTTTTTCTTTACCAAATAATCATATATATAAACATCAAGCCTACCAAGCAAAAGAATAAAAGAGAAAAAATTAAAGACTAAATAAAATTAAAATTAAAATTGATTTTCTGAAATAACATATATAAATACATCTTATCTGCTTCCCAATTACTCTGCGACATCGTTTCAGCACAAAAGCAAATCAATTAACTGTTCAAAACAAAATAAAACAAAAAACATTGATTAAAAGTAAAATTAAAAATTCAATTTTTCCATAAAAATCTATAAATACAGTGCAAAAAATATATAATCGTAAAACTAGAATCTACATTGATCAAAACTAACCTTATAGGGAGCAATTCAGATGGATCAAAGCCTACAAATAGAAATTTATGAAGCGATCTTGAGCTCGTGATGAAGCGATCTTTATTGATCAACCATTGGTTTATGCATTCAAGATGAAACAATTCCAAAAAAATTCAATCAAAATTCATAAATTTCTTTTAAGGATCTTAAAATTGATGAGATCAAAGTAGAAAAGAGTTAAGAACTTTCGAATTCAGGAACTCGCAGCTACAAATAGAGAGGAAAATTACTAAATTAGGGTTTTTTATTAGGAGAATTAAAATTATTGAAGCTTCGAAGGTCAGTTTTATTTTTAACGGAAGAGAAACTAGGGAGAGTTTGAGTAAGATCCGAATCGGAGGTTCGGTTGCTCCAAGTCTTAGGTGTATGAGCCGAATCTTAGGTTTGTAGTCTTTGAGGTTCGGATGGGTATGTTCGAAGATGGTAAGTCCACTTTTCTCAGTTTCACCACCACGTCGGCTAATAGGACCCGTCACATGCGTTCATGTACTTGGTATGACGAATTTCTTTTATAATTTTTTCTTTAAATTATTATTTTACACATTGTGAATGAAATTTTTAAGCTTGTAAAATTAAATATTATTATGTATTTTTATCATATTAATTTATTAATTATTTTAAATAAACTTCAATCGCGTTTGTGATCATTTTTTTTATTTCGTTGGCAAATTTTTAAAACTCTCTTAATCATATTTTATTTTTTATAAATAAATTTTTTTAAAATTCATATAAATAAATTATCGCATATTTAAACTCATTTATTTAATTACTTATTTTTATATATATATTACGATCTAAAGTATTATAAATAAAATTTTTTGAAGTTAGTTTGAATTCAAATATCAAATTTAATAAATTTGACGAATAAATTTATAATTGATTTTAAGGTCATTAGTTAAAATTTTCCCAAATTCATTTGACATAAATTTATTTATGAATAATTTTACATGAAACGGCCTTTAGTTCTTCATTCATTCATAATAAGGGAGAAGAGATTTGAAATTTAGAAGGTCAACCTTCTTTTTTTTTTTGAAGTTCTTAAAATTATAATGATAACAACATTTATATAAATAAATTTGAATTTTTTTTGTAGAATTAACAATTATTATTGCTAATAATTATGTAATTTATTAATAAAATATTAAAATTTTAATTTTAATCATCAATATTTAAATCCTTATAGCATCAAATGAAAAAATAACGTTTTATAATTCCCACCTAAAAGAGTTGGAACTCCTCCATGGTATTCAATTAAAGTTATATTTTAATAAATAAATAGGCTTTAGTAGTTTAGTTCTCAGAATATTTTAAAGTAAAAATACAAATATATATATACATATATATGAATAATGATTTAATCAATCTGAGAAGTATTGTTTAATTAGTTCAATGAAAAGTATTCTCTATTCTTTAATTATAATTTATAATATTCATTCTATCTCATTTTTTTTGTTTTTTTTTTAGATGTTCCAAAATTATGTCTTTTTTTTTTATCATCTAAAATTTTTACTTTTATATTTTAAAATTATATTTTATGATTTTTTTTTTACTTTTTTGTATTAATGTCATGAAATTTTAATTTTATAAAAAAAATTAAATTTTAATATTAAATATATTAAAATTAAAACCTTTTTTTTTTAATTTCGTAAAAATCGATACCGTCCAAAAAATTTAAAACGAAAGGAGTAATCGTTGAAATTATTAATTTAACTTTAATTAAATGTCCCATAGAGGTTAAGTCTACAACTAATTAATTTATGTTTCCAAGTAATAATTCAACATTTCATAAAAAAGTTGTTTTTACCTATTAAATAATTTATTTTTATTTATTTTTAATTCAAAAATATTTTAAAAACATTAATGATTATAAATTTTTAATTAAATATTGTGGATAAAATATAATAAGTCAAATTAAACCAAAATTATAAATTTATAATTAAATATTGAAGTTTTAGATTATCTTCTAATGTGAATTTGGTTAATGCTCGACATATTCGAACAAAATGGAATCATAGCTGGGATGACATCCAAAGGAGCATCTCTTTCTTTCCAAAATCCAAAACTTACCAAACTTAATTATGATAATTGAACACTTAGAATGAAGGTCATATATATTTGGTTATCCCAAGAGCGGTTGACAAAGGTTTTGAGGAACCAGAAAATGAAGCAAACCAAAAAGAATCCTTGGAGAATTAATGATGAGAAGAAAGATCAAATGTGCGCTCACCATCATCCGTCAAGCCTTTAATCATGACATCCTATTACGCGTGAAAGACGCTTCGTAATTCCATCATGGGAATATACAGAGAAAGTAAAAAAAAAAGTTGGACTTCAAACTCTTTTTTATGAATTAAAGTGAATCCATTTCGGATTATTATTTTGTAGGAGTCTTGGCAATGGAAAACCAAATGAATTAAGAGACTTGAAGAAACTGTGTCGGATGTTTGTGCAGTGGAGAAAATCCTTTGCTTTTGGAGACCATGAGCGTTGATCAATTAAATGGATCGTTATGAGCCAGCCCATGAAGAGAGAATGTATCGTGATATGGCAAGCAAAGTTGACTTAGAAGTTCAAAGGAGATGGCTCCGGTAGAAATTTTGGACATCGTCCTTAGGACAGCCCAAACACGGATGGAATAGACAATCCTGTGTTAGAAAATATAAAAAAAAAAAAATTGACTTTGAGATGTGAAAAATATTTTTTAAAAAATAATTATGCTTTTAGATAGAATAAAACTTCAAATTTTCTAATTAGAATTAGTAAAAATAGTTATATTGAAATATTTATTTATAACGAATAAATAGATATAGACTTCTATTCAGATAGTTATAAGTTTCTGTATAATTATGATTGTAGACATCCTATTTGATCCAGGCCTAAGGTCATTGGGCCTGGTCCAATAGGATTTGGGCTTAAGCTTATTGGGTCCGATTCAGGATCCAATTAGTAGGCCCAATTGACTTTTATTTTTATTATTTGTCTATTTATTAATATATATTTTTATTTTTATTTTTTTTATCTATTAATATTTTTATTATTTATCTGCTTTTTTTTTTATTATTTATCAATTTCTTTTATTTATCTAATTATTTTTTGTTTTCTATTAATATATTTATCTTTTTTATTTTGATTAATTTTCGGTTAAGATTAGGATTAGGATAAAAAAATTGAAATGAATTTGACTGTGATTTGAGAATTAGCAGACTTGGGATTGAATTCAAAGATTGAATCTAAATCCCAAAAGGAGTTGGATTGATTAGAAACTCTTCTGATCATTCTCTATAAATAGGTCTATAAATCACACATAAGGGAAAAAAAAAAACAAAGAGGTGAAACAGAAGCAAAAAGTGTTTAGAGATAGTATAGGATTTTTAGAAGTTTTTTTTTTTGAATTTTTGGAGTTCTTTTTCTAGAAAATTTATGGAAATTTTTCAGAATCCGACGAAATTTTTAAAACAAATTTTGAATTTTTTGACGAGTTTTTCAATCAAATTTGAAGATTCCAGTGGCTTTTTCTAGATTTCGATAAAAATTCAACCGAAATCTGAAATTGTTTAGAGAGAAGGAGGAGAAAATAAGGAAAGAGAGATAAGGGGAGAAGGAAATTCTGAAAAAAAAAATCGATCTTCGGCCTTATATACCATCTCCAAAATGACGTCGTTTTTACGTTAGTAAACCCATAAGATCCACGCGTTTTGTCAAGATCCGATGCGACCCGTAGCGCACCGAAACCAATGATCCGTTTTTTCGCCTGGGTTCCAACCGAGCCGAGATCTCGAGCTGCGCATCTGAGCCGTGATTTTTATCTTGAGCCAAGCCGTATCCCAAGCTTGAGCCGAGCCGTTTTCAAATTTTTGGTATTTTTTTATTTATTTTATTTTATTTATTTGTTTTACTTGTTTTTTTTTTATTTTATCAAAATAAAATAAAAATAATAAAAATAAAAATTTTAGGAATGAATATTAATTATCTAATGATGAAATTTATAAAAATTTCAAATGAAAATTTTTATAAAATTTCTAGGGAAGAAATTTTGTCTAGATTTATCCCAAATGGTGAAATAATATAAATAAAATTTCAATAACAATAATTAATATTTATTTTCAAACAAAAAAATTAAAAACATAAAAAGCATAAAAATATAAAAAAAAATTTTAAATTCAATACAAATTACCTAAAGATGAGATTTTTAGAAATTTCAAATGGTAAATTCCTAAGAAATATCTAGGTTAGAAATTTTCTCTAAATTTGTCCCAAATGGTGAAATGATTTAGATGAAATTTCAATACAAGTAATTGTATTTTTTTCACATAAAAATTTGGATTGTAAATATTTGATAATTATCTAAGGATGAGATTCTTAAAAATTTCAAATGGTAATTTTTTAAGAAATCTCTAGGTGATAAATTTTCTTTAAATTTGACCCAAATTGTGGAATAATTTAGATGAAATTTCAATAAAAATAATTGTCATATTATTTTCTTTCCAAGGAAAAAAGAGAAAAATGAAATTTCTAAATAGACCCAAATGGTGAAAATTTTAGAAATTCAAAAGAAAAAATATTTCTAATTTGGCCCAAATGGTGGAATAATTATATTTATTTCCAATAAAAAAAATAAAAAAAATATATTTTTTCGACGACGAAGCCTCTTCAAGAAATCAAATGGGATTCTTGAATACTATTGAGGTGAGAAAATATTTTTTAAGAGTTCTACCAGATTGATGGAGAATCTTAAAAATAGTTTTCAATATTTAACATAAAATTTGAAACCATTAGACTCCAAATCTTAGGATAAATTTGAAATAATATGGTACCATCCTTGGGATGGGCATGTGGGTGTGCTATAACCTTCCCCACATGTAACTGAATTCTCGAACCCTGTTCTGGTTAGTAGATTCGAACGTATTCTTTTAGGGATCCTTAGTTAAGCTTAGGAGTTCTTTAAAAGGATAGATTCCCTAGGTGACCAATTACACCTAATAAAAGATTGATGGCAACTCCATTCATTTGTTAAATCTAGCTATAAATTTTTGAATCTATATGTTATGATAATGACCTTTATGATAATTTTTTTCTGTTTAATCATAATTATTTAAAATATGAATAAAATTAATATAAAAATTAATTTTATTTATCAATAATTAAATATTTTTATCTAATGTAAAATACACTACATTCTAAATTACTAACAATTCCCCATTAGTTTGGAATGTTGGTGCTTAATTTTTAATCTTTTACACAAATAAATATTATGAATACAAAAATATATCTCTTAATTTAAATATTAAATTAGCGTATATATTTTAGAATTCTAACAAAGATGGTGTTCGTAGATTAAACATCAACTCTTAGTGTTAGAATTGAAGATATAACAAATATAATACTTATTTATTCTTATGTTAAAGGTTTATAATTGCTTTCAGCATTATTCTGGTAATGTGCTTATCCTATTCATAAAAC